CTCTGACTCCCTCTCCCCCCAGTGAAGGGCAGGGCGGGCAGGGGTCCTCCCCTCTGACTCCCTCTCCCCCCAGTGAAGGGCAGGCGGGGGTCCACCCTTCTGACTCCCTCTCCCCCCAGTGAATGGCAGGTTGGCCTGGCTGTGTCCAGGGAGGAGCTGCAGCTGGAGTTTATGCTCGCTGAGCGGCTGCTCCCTGGGGCTCACAGGGACCTGCAGGTGCAGGGAGTGACTGAGTCAAAGGTTCCTGGGCAAGTCCCTTCCTTCTTCAGTCCACTTTCTAGGGACCTTTGAAGGACCCTCATAAAACGTGGTGGTGTTGCGTGTCTGTGTGAGACGCTTTGGGGGTAAACGTGTGGGTTTTCCTTCTACACAGCTGCTCCTCAATCCCTGCAGTGGGTGGCCACTGCCCCACGGGGCTCCCTCTCTAACCCTGCCAGCAGAGAGGGAATCCCCGGGGGCAGGGACACTGGTCCCAGGATCTCAGGAAGCACTGCTCCAAGTCAGTTCTGACTGGGAATTTGCAGAGGAGGAAGGGTGCGGGGCGGGAATCTTCTGCCACTGTCTGTGGTGACTGGCAAGCCCCAGGGGTGAGCAGAGGGGAGGACAGTGAGAGCACCAAGCTATCCCTGACCAGGACCCACCAAAGTGAGCCCGGTGTCACTTATGGGGACAGTGAGAGGCTGCTGACCCCCGAACTGTCCATCGTCAACTGTTGACCCACCCTCCTCACCTGACATCACTGCCAAAGAGACCCCAGTCTGTCCCCATGACAGCACCCCTGAGCCCCGGCTGCGTGCGTACCCAGGGATGCCCCCAGCCTCCATGTGGTTGGCCAGTGTGACGTCGTGGGACCAGACATCATACTGCCACTTCTGCAGGCCGATGACGCCACACAGCACGTTCCCCGAGTGCACGCCCACACGCATGTTGATGTCCACGCCTGTGGCGTCCCTCACTTTCCTGCGGAGGAGGAAGAGACGCCCTGGCCTGAGGCCCAGACCCCAGCCTGGGGCCTCT